GGGTGGGACCCGGCCGAGCGCCTCGTGGCAGGGCCTGCCTCTGACCTGCTGAAACATGCCACATCAGGGCCGGAGCCGCGCCGGGCCCATCTGGAGCCCAGCAGAGCCGGGCGTGCGCAGGACCGAACGCCGGGGTCGGTGGGGGATTTTGTGACTCATTGTGTTTTGCCAGAAGATGCCGATTCATCGACTGGATCCATCCCCAAAGCAGGGTCAGGCCTGGCCAACCTCCCAGCTCGGGAAAAAGTTTCCAGCTCTCCGTTGGGTCGTGTTGCTAGTTTTGAAACGAAACGTTCCGGGTTGCCAAAGCCACATTTCCTTTGTAACATTCAGCAAACCAGACCGAAAGCAAAGAATCACAGGAATGCAGGGCCGGAGGGGAGCTCGGGAAACCGTCAAGGCCAGGCCCCCGGCCCGAGACAGATCCAAGTAACCGTAGACCAGCCCTGGCAGGTGTCAGTCCAACCTGTTCTTAAGCCTCCAGGGACAGAGAGTCAACCCCCTCCCTGGGAAACAGACGCTTTTCCTAACCTCCAACCTCAAGCTCTCCTGTTGCAGCTTCCGCCCGGCTTCTTGTCCTACTGTCAGTGGACCCGGAGAACAATTGATCACTGTCCTCTTTATAACGTATCGGAAGCCAGCAGGTTCCCCCTCCAGCTGGCTCCTTTTCTCAAGACTAAACATGCCCCGGTTTTGTAACCTCCTCACAGGTCAGGTTTTCCAAACCATTTATCGTCTTCGTTGCTCTCTGACGTGACGGCCTCTTTGCTAAGCGCAGGGCCCAGCACAGAACAGTTCTCCCACTGGGGCCTTGCCTGAGCCAGGCAGAGTGGGAGGCAGAAAGGGGCTGAGAGATTTTAAAGGAAACCACTCAACGGAGCCCCGAAAGGGAAGAGGCAGGGTGTCCATTTGCAAAGATTTGCAGGATTTCCACTTTGCTCCCCAACTCGAGCTGGGAACCAAATGCAAACTCTCAAAGCGATTGCAGGGTTGAGGAAACCACTTCCCACACAGCTGCTCTGAGCCCCCCCCCCTCGACGGGGTAACCGGCCAGGCAGTGTCGCCCAGTGGGTTAAAGCAATAGGCAGGGAGTCAGGACACCTGTTTCTAGTCCCATCCTTTCCTTTGACCTACTGTGGGAGCCCGGGCAGTGCAGGGCCTAACCACGTGCGACTTGGGCTGCGTTTACTCTTGTTTACTTCTCTTCACGCAGCGCAGCCGTGTGTGGGGCACTGCCCCCTGCTGGTTCCCCAGCGGCCTGTAACTGGGGCCAGCGAGGCTCCCGGTTGGCCTGAGCACAAGCCAGCCAACAAAAGGCCTTTGCATTCCAAGGCGCGGGAGACAAAGGGGCCGAGCGGGGAATGGAAAGCTGCATTGCAGACGCAGCTCCACACAAAGGACAGCACAAAACGGCGCCACACAAAACCAGAGGGGATGACGAAACCTCTGCTTTTCCCAAGGGAAAGATGTGGATGGGCTAGAAAGAAGGAGGGAACAGAAGCAGGAGCAGGGCCCCAGTGCCCACTTGGAGCTCAGTGCTGAAGGAGAATCGCCACTGAAGGCGTACAGTCTAGGGCTTATGACACACAGGGGTGCAGTTCTGATGTCCTCCAGCAGGGGGCAGCGGTACACATAGGCATTAGTCTCTTCATTACAGCATTATGGTGCCGCAGCTCCATTCAGGCTAAAGTCAGGAGCATTCTGTTGCAGCTCGGCGTGGCAAACCCGCCCCCCAAAGCAATCCCCCTTACA